GTTGCGAAGTTACAAAGTTGTTGAAAACAACAATGTTGATTGATGATCTATTGTTTACTTTTATGGTAAAATTTAATATCACCACAGGTGATCATCACCGCTCATATGTTCAGCCAATCGGATTGCAGGATCTCATGTAATCAAAACAATAAAGAAGCAAAGAAAAAATCCAAAAAATCTTTAATAGCAAAATATTTTACTATGATAACAAGTCTTTGGGCAATAATTAAAAATTCTTAGCATTAAATTTTACACATAACAAATCCTTCTAACCCATACCCTACCTGACCCTAACTCTAAATCTTTATTAAAAATTTATAATTATGTGGTAATAATTACTTGTGATAAGTTAGCAGGCTGTGCTTAACCTTGGCTTATGATTTCACATGCTATTACGTGATTAATGACTTCGCTACTAATACAATGTAGAGTAAAAATCATACTAATTTTTTAAAAAAAATTTAATAAGTGTTTAATAATTTTTAAAAAAAATTTAATAAATGTTTAATAATTTTTTAAAAAAAATTTAATAAATGTTTAATAATTTTTTAAAAAAAATTTAATAATTGCGCATATATTTGCTGCGAACACTATATAATATTTGCGCGAAAAACACTATATAATATTATTACAAATTTTAATTATTTCGAATTTTTTTGAGAAATTACAAATTATTTAGTCCCTGTATATATTGATTAAAAATGTATATTTAATTTAAAATATAATGTATAATATAAATATAAAATTTTAAAATTGCGAAATTTTGTGAAATCCTGCGAAATCTTTTGAAAATATTGTAAAAACTTTTAAATATTTGCAAAAAGCATTAAGAATAATTTAGTAGTGTTCTTTTAATATAAAATTTAGATGTAAATTTATATAAAACAACTTACTTATTCCTACATTCTTTAGATAAAAAAATATTAGAACAATTATTGAAACCAATATACCTATCCACCAATTATTTTATTCGAATTTTTAGCTTTAATAAACAAAGATTATTGTAATGAATTTATTGAATTGGAATTTAAACATTAGCATCCAAGCCATTATTCCATACATGGCTGTTAATACATTTTTAATAATTTTGCATAATTTTGAAATATTTTGAAATTAATTAAAGTATATTGTAATGAATTGAAAGTTGTCAATTTATGTAAAAACAATATCGGGCTGTGCTTAATCTTGGCTTATGATTTCACATGCTATTACGTGACCAATGCTAATACTATGTATAATTATTTTGCATTTTTTTAAAATCATATATAATGTATAATAATAAATAAATATAAAATTTTAAACAGCTCTTTTTCACCACGGCTTCTCTATTAGTTGATCTTATTGTCACCTTGATCAATTTGATCACCTTGATCAGTTTGATCACCTTGATCAGTTTGACCACCTTGATCAGTTTGACCACTGGTTTCTTGGTTAAAATTGCGAAATTTTTGTGAAATCCTGCGAAATCCTGCAAAATTTTGTAAAAACTTTTAAATATTTGCAAAAAGCTTGATTATATTATTAAGAATAATTTAGTAGTGTTCTTTCAATATAAAATTTAGATATAGATTTATATAAAACAACTTACTTATTCCTATGTTCTTTAGATAAAAAAATATTAGAACAATTACGATAACCATATATCCACCAATTATCCAATTATTTTATTTGAATTTTTAGCTTTAATAAACAAAGATTATTGTAATAAATTGAATAAATTTTAAAAAAATAATTGATTTAATACATTTCTAATAACTTCGCATAATTTTGAAATGTTTCAAAATTAATTAAAGTATATTGTAACGAATTGAAAGTTGATGATGTAAAAACTATCCATTGTTTACTATTTATGGCAGAATTTAATAAAGATTTTTGTTTTTCAAAAATTGATTGTATTTCAAAATTGGCAAGACAATAATACCTTTTATACTATTTCATGGTTTTATATGCGTGTTCAGTGAACTTCTACGTGGTCTAATATTAGTCTAATGCAGATAATTTCGAAATGTTTAATAATTGCATATAAATTCGCAGATATGCTGTGAAAATTAAATAAATGAAATTTGTAACTTTTTCAGAATGCCAAAATTATGCTAGTTAAGTTTATTTGATCAGTGGGCTGTGCTTAGTAAATTGCCCGTCTAAAAAATCTTTACCCTGCCACCTGAGTGAAACAGGTTAGTTAAAAAAAAGGCTCCACCAGGTCACCCGACAGGTCACCTAACAGGTCACCTATTAGATATGCTGTGCAAAATTAGAATTGATCATTAAGTCACTTAACGATGTTAGGTAATTTTTGGATAATAATAGTAATCGGATCTTGAATTGTGTTTACGATCACAGTTTAAAAAAAATAACTCAGATTGTTAAGTCACTTAATGATCTAAGATAAAACAACAATACAAATTACGGGGTTTAATTGTTCGATCAATAAGGTAATCAATGAGTATTTAAAAGGGGCGAGTCAACCCCAGTGTCTAAAATTGGGTTGTGGAGTCTGCGGACCGCAACAAAATTTAAATTTCCGCAACCAAAATCTGAAGTACATGTGCAAATTCTGCATATAAATTTGCAAATTTTACTTATAAATTTTAATTAAATGCTTATACGCGCAACTAAATTTTTATAAATTCTTATAATCCGCAACTATTTTTTTTATTTAGTTGCAGCCTGCAACTAATTTAAAAATTGAATTTCAGATACTGGTCAACCCGCATCACCCCCACCTGCGGGTGACTTAGGTGATACCCAATTCACTTAATCTTAGTATTCTTCTCTCGTGGTTTCATATGCCATAACATGACCAATGACTTCTCTGTAATACTATGTAGAGTAAAATTAATCAATCGCATTAATTTTACTTAAAAAAAATTTAATAAATATTTAATAATACACATAAATTCGAAAATATGCTGTGAAAAATTAGATAAATGAAATTTGATAACTTTTAATTATTTTGAGAAATTACAAAGTGTTTTATCATTTATTCCAGAATGCCAAAATTGTGTTAGTTAAGTTTATTCGATCAGTGGGCTATGCTTAAGCCTGGTATTCTTCTCTCATTGTTTCATATGCCATAACATGGCCAATGACTCTCTGTTAATACTATGTAGAATTAATTAATCATATTAATTTTCTTAATAAATGTTTAAATGAAATTTGATAAATTTTAATTATTTTGCATTTTTTTGAGAAATTACAAAGTATTTAAGATTATCGTAACAAATTGAATAATTTAAATCATAATGTATTTAATAAATTTTTAATTTTTTCACATAATTTTGAAATTAATTAAAGTATATCGTAACGAATTGAATAATTTTTAAATTAAATATTTATTGAACTTATACATAAATTTTAATTATTTTGAATTATCTCGCATCGTTTAAAATATTTTTATGAAACATAATTTTCAATAAATGCCAATATAATAAATTAAATACTTCAGTTTAATTTAAAATATAAACAGAATTTTTATACTTTCAAAAAGATATAAATATGATTAAAAACTTCTTTATTTTTTTCATAAAAAATTTTATTTTCAAGTATCTTTAAAATTTTAAATCAAATTGAAATTATTATAATCTTAGAATATAAATTTCACTATTTCTCTTTAAATATCAAATATAATCCTAATCTCATAAAATGTCTAGCTTCATATGTTCTATCTGCAAACGTACTTTTTCATTACCAAATGGATTGAGTAAACATATGTCCAAGTGTCTTAATACTGTCGAAGATGTTCCAGTTTTTGCCAAAAGTGCTGAGAGTTTTCGCAAGTCTTCGCTTCTTGATGAATTGCCTCAAGATAATATTAATAAAGACCAATTAGATATTGAATATTCCTCTTCCTCTAAAATCTCTAAAAAAATTTTATTTAAAGATATTAACTTTAGCAATCCTGTGCAAAATATTAATTTAGAGAGTAATATTGCGAATTTATCTAATGATGATAATTTGTCTGAGAATTTAGCAGATATGTCTTTTGAATTAGAGAATAACACATATTCAAAAAATTTTGAAGTCGATCCTAATACTAATATTCTTGATGAATTTGAGAATACTTCACAAGATTATCATGAATTATCTGATGATATTTCAGTTAGCACAGATTATTTCAAAGATATGCGAAATAATTCATCTGACGATGAAAATCATGAATATAATGAATTTCCTAACAAAGCTTATACTGATTTAATGGTTTTGGTTACAAAATATAAACTAAGTAATGCAGCTGGAAATGCGATTATCTTATTCTTTAATAAACATTCAAATCATTCCAAATCTCTATTACCAAAAATATTAAACAAGAAAAACTATTTATAAATAATATAAAATCTAATTTGTCATATATAAAAACTAAAGTATTAGATCATGATAATACTGAGTATTTCTTATATCATATGCCATTAATGAGTTGCATTCAAAATATATTAGAAATTCTTGATATATTTCAAACTTTT